AGATTACTTGAAAAACTGACTAACACGCTACAGGAGAATGGAATTTCTCGAAACTTTCTAATTCCAATTAAATCTTTTTCAATACAAAAAAAGCATCCCATAATTGATCAATCGTAAAATCATCGATATATCGTGAAAATGACAAAAATTCACTATTTTCATTATTTCGAAATTATACATACATATTTAGAAATTCATTATTCCATCCAATTACCTATATATATATTTGACATTTAAATAAATCGAAAATACTAATTAATAAACGAAATACAATAAAAAAAAATCAATTCAAATCAAAGATATCTTTTTCAATTTTCGATAATTCTTCGAATCTCTTAATACACATTTAATGAGATCAAGTTGAGTTCAACTAAGTACTTGAATCGAAACGACCAACGATAATTCTGTTTCTCAGAATCGATGATTTCACGATGTGACATTAATCAATTAGAAATTTAATTAATATGCTGTGGATCGTGAAGTTCTAGAATGTTGACTATGTAAGAATGGTTAATTAGAAAATTAACTCTTTGGCAACTAATTTCCATCAACTGCAACTGGCAGCGATCGTTCCAAGAACGCTAAATACCGGCATTAGAAGCACTTTTGTCGCGATAACGAGTCGGTTATGCGGATGTCCGTGAAGCAGATTGTTGGCCGACGTACTCGCGGCTACGACACGCGAATCTGCGCATGCGACATGGTCCGGTGTTGCAGTGAACGCGGACGACCCATTTAACCCATTCGCGGCCGTACTGTATACTGTATACTGTATACTAATACCGCATGCATTCGATGCCGAAGAAGGTTCTTCACTCGACCTCGTTACCCCTATCTTCTTACATCTTTTCTCCTGGTGTATCGAAATTTGAAAACTACGTCGTTTGATCAGACTTTTATAGAAATAAAAAATTGATCAAATATTCGAAATATCGGACGTGACGGCGACGATTCGCTTCGTTATATTTTAAAGTCTAGAAATTGTATGCTTTGAATTTTGATAAAAGCAAGGTTAGCGATGTTGAAAATTATGGATCGTAATCGCGGAAATAAGTATGTAGGAATATTTTCGTTACATGTAGGAATGATAATAAATTGGTTTTGTATTTAATATGCGATTTACAAGATGTTCATGGATACCCATTACACGTGTCTCACTTTTACCATGCGTGCGGATCAGTGACATTCTTTTGTTCTACGCACGACATACGCACATACTTACACATATATTCACACGCATATATGTGTATCACTATTGCGCAGGTGATTCGGTGTAGCACACAAAATTACGTATATCTCAATAAGTGAAACTGATAAAATGTTGTAAATATTCCGCGTGGCGATATTATGCTTCTTTTTCTTACGTATCAATTACATTCGGAGATCGTATGCTTCGTATGGTGGCAAAAGTAAGATCAGTACAATGGGTAAAATGTGTTAAATATTGGGCATAGAAATTACTTCTATCTTCTTCTCTTTATTATCTTTATCTTCTTGTCTTTATTATCTACAAATAAAACATTGGAAATAGTAAGTGTGTGTGTGCTTTGAATCTTGACAAAAGTAAATTTAGTGCCACTCATTTTTACTATTATTACAAATTTGCAAATTACCTGCTTCGAATCTCGGCGAAAGTAAAATTCACGAGAGATAAATATCGAGCAGGTGTATTATTATAGTTGTGTGTACATATAATTCTCACGTAAAAATCTTGATACACGTAAAATTGGACGAATATAAATAGTAAATTAGATATTGTAAATATTGAACATGGTACTCACATATTATTTATATCACTTTTGAAAAAAACATGATACCACGTCGAGTAATTGCGAGACTGATAATTTATTGTTAAGCCGCAGATATTTATGCATTTATGGAAAATCCAAACGTGTAATCATGGATATAATATGCAAATGTATATGAGGTATTCAAAGCAAAGTATTCATTACAATATTTAGCGAGTCTCATTTACTATGCACGTTTCATTTTTCGAATGTTATTCATAAAAATATGGATTTGCATAAACATTCGCAGCATCGGTATGTTATTAATAAATTAGGTTTACGATTCATAATTTGTCACGCAGCTGTATAATTTATTATATAGAATATTGTGAATTTCAAATAGTCAAAGAAATTGATTTGCAATATATCGCAATAGTCAAAGTAATTATAACCGCAATATGTTGTTGTACAAAGTTCAACCATAATCCATTACAACGACTATTATCACTGTCTGGATTATGCAATTGCCTACTGTACAAAAACATTTAATTAAGTTCTATCGAAGGGTGTAATTTCGAATGGTTCGCAAAACGACATAGACATCTTTCAAACCAAATCTATAAATTTATAGTCGTGAAGGGATCAAAAGAATTGAAAAGTATAAATTTGAAATTTCTTATAGAAAATTCGAAACACCTAATTGTCTTCAAGTGGAGATTTAGGTTTGTTCTCGTTTGATGTCAGACGAAAAAGTGATTGAATTGAACATTTTCACGAGTTGCAGAGTGTGTGTGTAGGAGAGAAAAAAAGTTATTAGAATCGAAGAATATTACTCTTTGATAAATTATCAAGGATTTTTTTAAATTTCACGTAAATATTGCAACGAGTATTTTGTTAATAGCTGTTTGACAAAGTCGTAGTTTCAAGATTTCTGAAACTAATTTTCTCTGAAACATCTGGATATGAAACAGGTCCTTTCAGAAGGATGCTTATACGTTTCGGTATTGCAGCTTGTCTCATCAGGGATCTGGGTTAGGTTAGCACCATATGTGGTATCAGTGCGTCATCGGATCCCTAATGAAGCTAACTGCAATGCAGACGAAGCTCTCTTAGATTCCCGAAGGTATACCAGTTTCTACTCGCATAGCAAGTAAGCTCTGCCTGTCTCCTCTAGGTTCCTGTACTTCGACGATTATACGCTGTAATCTGTGAGATACTCTTAGAACAAACTGTTGTAACCACACGGATACAGTAAGCAAAAATAAGTTTAAATATGTGGAAAATATAAAAAATTTCAATTGCTAAACTTTTAAAAAATCTGAAAATTCGAATTATTTCTCAAGTTTAAAAAATTCGGAAAGTTCACGATAAATCTAAGTATAAGGAAACGTTAAAAATTGGAAAAATTTCAATTATTTCAAAAGTTTCAAAAAAAATATTCAAAATCTTCGAATTTCAGGAATTTACGTTACATATATCAGGCACGAGCAAATATTCGAAAAATTCCAATAATTAAAGATTCTAAAATTTCGAGAGTTTCGAAAATCTCACGATAAACATATCAGAGATAGCAAGATAATAGAAAATTCCGATAATATCGAAAGATCATAATATCCTTGAAAAATTCTACGACTACGAAAGCTTCGATAATCCCAGAAATTCGGAAAAATCCACTGCTCATTTTACACGTTCCACGGGGGGAAAAAGAGAAAAAGTAACTTACGTACGTCTGTGGAAACCATTTACCCCACGCTTACTATCGCATTACGCTGGTCAGTAATTTCTCGCAATCATTCACTTGGCATTATACCACGCGGAACAAAGATAGTCCCGTTTAAAGCGATTTTCCGCGTTCATTCGCGCAAGTGAACGCGGATACATTCGACGAGGATACAATTATCCGGTCATCATGCTCTTTAATTCTCTCCGAGCGCTTCTAAATCCTACTCTCCATTGCACAGGGAATGATGTTGACTCCGTTGATCGTTCTCGTCGTTCGATGACCCGATTTTGCGGTCCGCTCGACATGTTTGCGGAGAAATTGAAAATACGTCGCCATACCGGTGATTGGAATTTTCGTTGCGGTGGATCGATCGCTATATCGAAAATTTCATCTTCCACAAAGGGTTCGTTTGTCAGGAAGGAGGCCGTGCATCTACTTTTTTTTTTTTCATCGTCGCAACTTTATTGAAAATTTCACGTTTGTATTTTCTGGTTATTGGTAAACGGTCCTTTTGTTTTTAAATATTCCAGAATATAATTTGTTTACGTAGCTCGATTTTACTATGGACTCTCGTACAGAATCCCTTTATGGGAACGATAAAAAATATTATTATTATATTACGTTATAAACGATTCTCCCTGGTAGAGGCATTCGTTTTTCCTCTTTTATTAGTTTCAAATTGAAATGTACGAATAAGCTGTTCAATCTGTAATGTATTTAAATCGTAACGATTTCAATAAGCACAACGATTGCCAATATTCGTCAGAAATTCATTTCAGAGTCGCATAAACTGCCCAGCATTTCTAATAATAACAGATTTTCTATAGAAAAATATATTTTTTCATTTCGTCAAACTTTTTCCACGATCGAGCTATAAATAAAAGTATTATCACGTTTACCATATTTGAAATTGCGAAAGATTGGCATTTCCATTATGTTTGTACTTTCGTAAAGCTTGCTTTATATTCAAACCACGTACGAAAATATTTATTACATTTACTTTATCAAATTTGTAATATCGCAATAAACTACAATAAATTAGAATTCGTTAATTATTCGGTTAATGTCGGCTTACTGAATTATTTAAAAAAGAATATATATATACACACACACACACGGTATCCATATCTTTCGTCAAATTTGCCACTAGTTCATGAAGTTCGTTCACCTTTATAAAAGAAGGAAAATGCGATAGAATTTTACGTATTCGAACGGAATTTCAATTACGTATACACTGTTCGATGAAACGAACTTTCATGCGCATAATCCTAACTCAAAATTGCGGCTGGTATCAGCACGAACTCCAGTCACGACTATTTAGTTCGCGGCTCGACAGCCTGGTCTAGAAATCCGGAGTCGAGATAGCGATTTCGAGCGGCAAGACGATCTTTATTACGCGTGCACGAGGAAAGTACACGATGACGATGCGGACGGTAGCTGGCTCGGTGCCAAAGAGAGATCTCGCAGGGCTCAGCCTCTTCATCCTCTTCCTCTTCGTCCGTATTCAACGTCCATCCTCTACCAACTCTCTGTTCGTTCGCTTCTTTTCCGCTTTTTTCTTTTTTTTTTTTTTTCGGAGTCGATATCGAGAAGTTGCAAGAGCTCGTTTTGGCTGAACTGGCGTTCTCTTTTTCTCTCTTATTTCTCCTCGCAATTTTCAGTGATTTTCTTTTATTAATTGTAAGTTTCTAGGCACCTAGATATTTTTCACGATTTACAAAGAAAAGTGAATTTAATTATTAAATTATGTGATTACGATTGTTACGCTTCTAGGAGTATGGCTGGCAGCGAGATAATTTGTATATTTATCTTGTGATTTTTGATAGTGTTATTTAACGTTGAATTTCTTTAACAGCATAATTATTATATGTAATAATAAACGATTAATTAACATTGCGTGTATAATGTAAGAATTGAATATATTTAATTAAAATCGTGAATATAACTTTCTAAAGATCTTGAACATCGTTTTAGAGTAAAGTTCGGGAATATGTGAGTTAAGGTCCTCGAATAAGACAATACAGATAGCGAAATTTGTGCTAATTGGAGTAATTGTTGGAATAGTGAATCTCTTTGACAGAAGAAATTAGAACTATTATCTCAAAGATTGATTGTAAATTAATTCTAGAAATTATTTAATTTTGTAAAAGAAGGCAGATATAATCGAGCAAATTAGCAGAATTTGCAATTATTAGAATATTTGTTGTTATATTGATGTTTCATAGAAAGCGAATAATAATTTTTTGTCACACGTTTGCGTGCAAACAGTTGTGATAATTGAAGGAATAATGTAAACAGCGTAGTATGACGAAGAAAAATATTTGCGTAGACTCGTTAGTAGCTGGTAAAATCTCGCGTAAATTTACAAAAACTAAAATCCATTGTTTAATCGACATACTACACTTTCTATCGTATCAATGCAAATATCAAAATCAACAATTGTATTAAACTCTCGATATCAGAACGCTGGCCAACAGTTCCTGACACTTTTAGCATTACAATAGCCAAAAAAATTTTTTTTAAACTCAAAACTGTCTGTCTTTGTAATTGCGCAAAGCAATTAAACATTAATCGATTAATCCTCAAGTAGCAAAAATTCCAACTCTCGTCTCTAAGATTTAGACGAACAGTTGCAAACGCTTTCAACGCTACGTTTCTTAACGACTTCTCTAAAACCGAAAATCTATTTTCAAAACGCTTTGAAACAATTCGCTGAATTGAAGCTTCAATCGGATACGTTCAATCGACTAATTTTCCAGCAGCAAAAGTTCCAACTTTCGTCTCTAAAATTTAGATGAACAGTTGCAAACGCTACGTTTCTTAACGACTTTTTTAAAACCCAAAATCTATTTTCAAAACGCTTTGAAACAATTCGCTGAATTGAAGCTTCAATCGGATACGCTCAATCGACTAATTTTCCAG